AGAATGCACAATTTTAAGTTCAAGGAATTCCATACTTATGTGAACAACGAAAGGGGTTTGAATACATGGAAAAACTCAAGGGATCACATTTATTAATAAGGAATATGGGAGATTTCAATTAAATATCATAAGGATCCCGCGCCCCATTCTTTCCCTTCTTAATTAAAGCTTGTTCCCCAAAGTTTCCTTATGTAAGTACTTATCGGGCTATTTAGTGAGTTAACTATATTGGTCAATTATGATTAGGACAAGTGAGCCCTCATAAGTTGAATAAAATTACTAATTGCAAGTTCCAAAATACTTTATCAAGTAACAGATATCCGAATAACGCATGTTTGATCAAATAGTTAAGCAATAATATGCAGTTCCTAACATGGTCTAAAATCAATTAGGAACATATATGCTTAAGCAAATAAACAAGTATGATAATCAAAGAGTGATAAGCAACAAAGTAGGTAGAAGCATGCAAGGACATAACAAATTCCTAGGGCCAGTATGTGGAATGGAGAGTCAGTGTATTGTACCCTTACCTTGATGTGATAAGCGAAGGGGGAAATTCTTTCAATTAATGTGGGGTAAAGTGAGGGGTGGTTATGTGATGATAGGTTGGTTCACAATCTCACCGCGCGTCCTAAGATTCCTGAATCCTATGTTCCTAAATACCTAGAGTTCAAGCCTAATGTTCTAAAGTCTGGTCTTAAGAGTCTTATCCTAGGGTCAAACTTAGGCTCTGATACCAACTGTAACACCCCAGATTTTCAAGACTTTTAAAACTTATATAATAAAGGTAAATTCTCATTAAATCCCAAGCAGAGCAGTACTAAACATAAGAATATGGGGTGTTATGCCACATCTGAGCTGGAGAACTCAGATGCACAGGCTAAACTATCTAATTATCCTTAAACAACATCATTACATCATTATGGCACGCAGGCCGAATAAGAAACTATCTATCTAAGCCTTGGGTCCTCTTGCGCGCTCCGGAGCTAAACGTCTGTGCCTGAAAGCCAAATATATCTGTTCAGCGAATAATCCTGGTAACCCACTCTAACGCATTGAAATACCGTATAAGTATATATATATATATATATATATATATATATATATATATATATATATATATATATATATATATATATATATATAAGAAAAGCCATTTTGAAGCAGGAAGATATATCCTAGGAAACTCTAGTTTCAAAACCGGAATAGACTCGACAGGTAGGGATAAGCACATTCAACAGTTATAACCAAGCATATAAAGATACTAGCATATATCCTACGGTCACAAATTCACTTTATCTCATTTATATCATCATTCATCTCATCACACAAGCACACTTTGGTGGCGCCACAAGACCAATCGCATGCCCATACATGAGGGTCAGCGCATATAGCTCTAACACGGCCCCGCAGCACCCTGCCTCGTATCGCTACACGAAGGGGTCGATCGCAACCGACTGATGAACCGCAGCTCATCATAATGTTTGATCGCAACCAAACAGTGGACCGCAGCCCAAGAGTGATCATCTGACCGCAGCCAGGAATATGAACCGCAGCTCATGTAAAACGTTTGATCGCAACCAAACGGTGGACCGCAGCCCGAGAGTGTAATTCTGACCGCAGCCAGCTTCTGAACCGCAGCTCAGGAATAACCAATTTGATCGCAACCAAATTGGGGTATCATGCACACATAACACATAGCTAGCACATGCAACCCATATTAACACATTGGGAAAGGGGAGAAAACGTATAATGAAACCTATGCGTGGTCATCCACATACTAGGAATAATTCTAAGGGGTTCATACTTCTTTCACCTAGGCCAACGGGATACCAATTCAACTAGCATGCGATATATATAAGACTCATTTATCCTACGAACGGTACCCGAAATATCAAACTAGACTTAGGCATGATAAACGGCGTCCGTTGGGACACCACGAGGGTCGGGGAAACATCAAACGGGGAAGCCGAAGTCCCAAGTTGGGCAAGTTCCAGCGGGTAGCTGGTGGGTGGAGGATCACCCGCCGGCTGCCCGCCGGAGACAAACCTCCGGGCAGCGGGTGCCCGGCAGGCAGTCGTCTGCCCGCTGCCGGCGGCGTCACTTTCGGGTAGCGGGTAGGTGGCGGGTCCCCCTACCCCCACCTACCCCCCACTCACTCTTTATCAAAATAAATGTCCCGGGATCCTTTGTGGAACCCGAAACCATGCTTAGACACTTTTAAACGTAATTGATGATACCACGTAGACAATTAACGGATCAAAAGCAAGAATCATATAGCACATATCCTATCATGACTTCTAAGCATAATCAACACCCGAGCATGTGAATTTCCACCCAAATATATCAAGAATATCACAATATGAGTTTCACGATTCATCCTAGGGCTCTAATCATATATAGTTCATCTTTTAACATCAAGAACATCAAGATTTATCAAGAACATCGCATAATCATCAAGAACCTCTTATCATCATCAAGATCACACATAAATTCATCTCACCAATCATCAAGATCATATCATCAATATCTCAAACGATTTATCATGACACGAGTATAGAGAAGAAGCCAAAGATGGAAATTATAGCAAAGAAAATAGGTTTTGTTAAGACATGGGTTACCTCTTAGCCTTAATTAATCATTCCTTGGCTATTAAGGTTCTTCCCTAAGATTTCCATCCGTTTTGATCTCCCTAGGCTTGGTGGTGGGGAGTCCCTTGGGAATTCTGGTGTGGCGATATCTATTGTGGTGTGACTTCTAGGTGCCTCCTATGTCCTTATATATATATATATATATATATATATATATATATATATATATATATATATATATATATATATATATATATATATATATATATATATATATATAGGAGTCCTAATTAGGGTTTGAATGGTATGGGTTTACTAATTCTATTTCTTATAAGACTAAGGACTTGTTTTAGGGATAAGGGTCCATGGTCCATGGTGGACCATATTAATTAAAGAGAATTCTAACCATAATCTGAATAGTAAAGGTATACTTTATTTATTCCTAATAGATGTGTAGGCCTAGGATTCCTAATTAGGATCTGATTAGTAAAATGTTAACTTTCTTTATTTCTAATAAGCTTATGACTCTAGTTTAGGCAAGGGTCCACGATCTGTGGTGGACCACATTAATTAATTAAAGGAATTTCTAATCAAATTAAATCCTTTTTAATTATTATTAATGAAATTAATTAAATAATTAATTAATTCGGGATTTAAAGGCCGTAACACGGGGTGTTACATCTGCTCTATCTAACCGCCAGTCGACCAGACATAATGTTCAGTGTTGGGATGTGTGTAAGATATCAATCTGATCCCAAAGAGTCCCATTTGATAGCTGCTAAATGGATCATGAAATATATCAAGGGTATAATTCAATATGGTATATGGTAAGAATTTAGTATCATGGCTAAGCAAGAAACAGAATTCAATCTCTCTAAGTACAGCTAAGGCAGAATACATAGCAGCTGGAGGATGTTGCACCCAACTGGTCTGGATGAAGCAAATGCTTCTAGATTATGGTCTCACTCAAAGGAATATGACACTTTACTGTGACAATGTCAATGTAATAAACATTTCAAAGAATCCAGTTCAACATTCCAGGACTAAGCATATTGATATAAGGCATCACTATATCGGAGATTTGGTAGAATCAAAGGAGATAGAGTTGGAATATATTCAAACAGACAAGCAATTGGCTGACATACTGACTAAGCCTCTAGACGCAAATCGGTTTGAGATTCTCAGATCTGCTCTGGGGATCTGCAGGAATGATTAGTAAGGCAGAACGGTAACACAGAAGGAGAGTGTATGATGTTCTCAATCTCGGGTCAAAATTACATCCTTGACTTCCTTTTTAATCTCTCTTCTGTTTTTGTTAAGATAATATCTTAACCTTGATTACCAAAATTAAATTGCCTCATTCAAATTTCAAATCTTCCGTTTTATCCCTGAAAAGGAGCTATACCGTTGCGTCAATCACATCGCAGCTGCATGCATTCTGACAGCTGCATTGAATAGTGTTCATCACCCTTGGGATTATATATTTCATCGGGTCAATATTAGTGGAAGAAGCGTCCTAAACACTACTCTGTTCTCTGTTAATCCTCTACTGGTTCTCTACATAGGGTTTTTCCTTTCTCTTCCCCAAATCTCACAAATATGGCCGATGCAGTAAGGAATATCATTATCAAGTTGGGAAGGAAAAGCCACACACCAGAAAATGCAACGAAGCATGTGAAAACTCTCCTCCAACTCACAATGCAGAAGAAGTTGAAACTGGACTCTGCTCTCCGCGATGAGATCATAGTCACGGTGATTTCAGACTACCCTGAGTTTTATGCGGACTGGTCAGATAATGATACAAGCTATCTTTTGATGCTGGCTTCAGAAGCAAGTGATGATGTTAGTCATGGCTCCATTGATGAACCTGAAGATGGAAACCGAGCTGGGGCTTTCCTCCAATATTTTACCCAAAGAGCTCTGGAATTGGAAGAAGTCTCGCGTCGAATGGCAGAAGCTCGCCCTCTCTACCTTCAAGCTGCACAGGAAGAAGTCAAACATCGTCTTGAGATTCTGCGAAACAGGTCCAATACTTCTGAAACTCCTATTGAGATTTCTCTTGATAAGCCTTCTGAGTTACTTTCTAATGATGTTGAGTCTGCTCTACCTGTTGTAAAATCTGATAATGAAAATACGCTACTGTCTGCTAAGTCTTCTATGTCTGATGATCCACGCCAGTTATCTTCTGAAAAATTTGAGTCTGCAAAAAATGTTCTTGACAGTGAGTCGGAGGAAAAAGTTTAGAAATCTGATAAGGTAGATAATTTGAGTTTGGTTGTTTACTCTGCTGATGCTGAGCGATCTGCTCTTTCTGTTGGTCATGTGTCTGCTGTTGAAAAGCCCACTGTGGAGGATTGACCAGTGGATGTCTCACGCAAGTTATCTACTAAGATTACCGCAGAACTATCTATGAGCACTCTTCCTTCTAATTCAATTGATGGTGTTCCTGTCTATACATCCACTACCTTGGCTGAAAGTTTTGATCATATTCAACACTTTGCGGGTTTACCCTCTACCCTCTACCCTTTACCCACTACCTTTAGAATTATAGAATTTTCCAAACTTCTTGCACCTTCATCTGCTCCTGTGTCTGAGACAAGCAACTCTGTTTCTCCGAGTCCCACTGAACATTCTCCTGCTAGAGAAACGAGAAAGTCCAAACGCAAAGGTGTCCCAGAAAAAGTGGCTGTGGAAACTGGTGATGATAATATTGAATCTGTTCAACCAGATAAAAGACGAAGATCAGCTGAGTCAATGAAGGGTGAAAGTGACCCACCAGTCCAGCAAGTGTTTAAAACCTTGAGATCGTCAGTCAAGAATAAGGCTTCTGCAACTGTTTCAACCACTACTACCAGAAAAATGAAAGCTACAACAAGGTCAAGAGGAAGGAGTGTCACTCCCGATGTACAAACTGCTTCTGACAGTCCTGACACCTCCATTTACAAGCCACAATTTGTTTCTGCACCAGCTCAAGGCAAGTGGTCTACAATGGTGAGACGAGAGCTTATTGTTCAGAGATCAGTTGATGAGAATCAATTGAATTCTGTTTGTGATATTTTACCCCTGCTGAGTGAGGTTGGCCTACTGAAGACTGTAACATCCATTCGTCTTTACTCGAAGCTGTTGACCTATGAGTTTTACTGCAATCTGAATGAAGAAATTGAGAACTTTACTGGGACGCGGTGCCAGCAGATTTTCATTAGAGGGCAGTGGTATGTGTTCGGCCCAGACATGATTAATGACTACTATGATTTGAAGGCAGTCGAAGAAGAAGAAATTATAGATTGGGATTTGGTTGCAAAGACTCTCACTGGTGGTCAGACTTCAGCTTGGCCTACAGGAGATCCTGACACCTTGTCAAGCTCGGTGTTTACCTCCAAGTATGTTATCCTGCACCGCATTGCACTGCACAATTGGCTCCCTTCTGCACACTTTCATACTGTTGGGAAGCAACTGGCTGCTCTTCTGTTCATAATCGGCACCAAGATGTCAATTGATCTGGGAAAATGGATCTTCTATCATATTATCACCCTAATTCATCCAAGGGAACAGAAGGTAAGACTTCCTTATCCTAATCTCATCTTTGGAGTTCTGACGTCACAGGGCCTGGTACCAATGCAAAGTGAGATTATTACTCTGTCTCTGTTGTATACTGTTGATCCGCGACTATTGATCGGCAAACATATCCGGGATGTTACGCCAGTTAATGCTCCTCCATCCTCTGAAGCTAACACTACTGTTGAGGATTCGCCACATGCTAAAGATGTGCAGCTTCCCTACGGGTGAAGGCTCGAGTGTCTAAGCTAGAGATTGTGAATGACATTATCACGAATCAGCTCAATGCTGCCCGTACTGAACTTGCGACTGTTTTGCTTCGATTGAGCTTGACTGAGTCTGCTGCTGCTGAGCATATGAAGTCTGAAAGTGAAGGTCCCTCAAATGCTTAATGTGTCCTTTGTCTTTCTTTTGGCAAAAAGGGGTAGTGCCTATACTTAGGGGGAGTTTTTGTGTTGTTCGTATCTTCTGGCCCTGTCTGGGCGTGTTTTTTTTGTGATGGCCGCCTTATGTTTTGTGAAGAATTTCCCTGTTACTTGTTTTTATCCAGCACGGCTTGTGTGCTGATGTTTTTATGGGTTGTATTTCAGACATTACTCACTTTATGCGATAGTTGTTAATCTTCTATATCTTTAGCTAAATGTTCGTTTCTTAGTCGAGTTGTTTTGCCAAATGATATCCAAAGGGGGAGTTTGTTAGTGTTTTAATTTGTTCAAAACTCCAACATATAATTGGCAACATTATTATGGTAAATTAAGATAGGGTTTAGCTTGGTGTCTGTTTACTCTTATAGAAGACTGATTGATCAGTGTTATCAACAGACGTTATACCACTGAAGATCTGTTAAAGGGAGATGTTTCCAAAATGCTGAACGCGGTTTGTGAAGACAGTTTTGGAAAGAATATCAGCGGATCAGCTTGGAAGGTATGGACCGAATCTGAAAGATTTCATTCTTCACAAAATACGTCCTACCATCTACAATCAAAGATATTTTTGGAGAGTGTTCCTTCCAAGAATTAGGGTTACGTTTTTAAGAAGACAAAAACACTCAATGCTATACAGGAACACACATCTTTGATTATCATGTCTCTTCTCAAGGTATTAAGTTCTTGGTGATTATGATGAAGAACTTGAGAAGGATTAAAGTTGCTTAATCGAAAGGACGCAAAGATCACTCAGTTGTGGGAACAACGTGGGACTGCGTCATTGAAGCGGACTGCATCAGAGTTAGCTCTCCAATTGAAGGGATTTCATTGGACTTTTGCATGCGTGGCTCTCCGACTTCAACAATCCACTAAACCTTTGTAGACTGGGTACATACCTTGTGTGTGGCACTTGGGTGAGATTGTTGTTTCTCTATCTTTGTACATTGGATTATGAGTTAGTGGATTGGACGCCTCGGTGATCGTCCCCCAGATGTAGATACACACTATATCGAACTGGGTAAACATCGTATGTGTTGATTTATTTTCTGCTTTAGTTTTTCTCTCTAAACTAATCTGCGTTCTATTTGAATGGCTGACAATTCACGTCTCTGAATCAGTCAGTCTAGTACATCAGTCGATTATCTCTAATAATAATCTTAAACTGAGGAAATGCAAAATTACAGAGTCTTGGAGTGACATTCGCTCATGCCCCCCCCCCCCCCCACCCCCAGTGTGGAAGATCTCATCACCGATGACACTTTGAAGGCGCCCTAGTCGCGCAGAGATTTTGTAGCTTAGCCTACCCTTTGGGGGCCCCCCTCCCTTTTGTTTTAAAAAATATCAAAGCTATAATACAAAATATGTTATATATTTATTTATCAAGTATGTTTATACAAATATAATAAATATTAATAGAGAAAATTACACTTTTGGTCTTGTGACTATAGAGGTCTTGTTAATTTAAGTACTTGACTTTAAAACTAACAATTTAGTCCCGTAACTATGCAATTTTAACACATTTGGTCCTCCCTGCCAAATCACCGACAAATTTTCGTCGAAAAAATGTAACTCATTTTAAATTAAATATATTTTTTTGAATAATTTTAAATTAAAAATTTTAAATCCTACAACGACACAGTGGTGAGCTGCGCCTGGAAGATGTCGAGTTTCGGCCTCGTCTCCACCCAGACGCGTCTACTGTCGGACGAGGTTTTTGTCGAGAAATTAGTGTTGGAGAGCTCGGAGAGGCTCTACAGTCGACACGCCGCGTTACGCGGGGACTCGTGGTCTCCAATGACTTTGCCCTTTTAAAGTTAAATTGACCATTTTGCCCCCACTTATATTTAATTTAACATGGGTTACATTTTTCCGGCAAAACTTCGCCGGTGATTTGGCCAGGAGCACCAAATGTTTTAAAAATTGCATAGTTACGGGACTAAATTGTTAGTTTTTAAAGTCAAGTACTGAAATTAACAAGACCCCTATAGTAACATGACCAAAAGTGTAATTTTCTCATATTAATATTTTGTTCAATACTTTCATAATCTACGACACACATCTCACAACACATGAAACATGTAGGGGAAAAAAACTATCATTGCCAAATATCAACAGGCCCTTGCAAGATAAAGAGTTCATAGTATAACTAAGATCTCAATCATATATACAGCAAGGCAAATCTAAAACTTCCTACACCATAATCTCATTGCATAACGATGCCCTCTATGCTACCACTAGTAATCCAATTGCACATGACACACTACTAATAAAAAAGATAACAAGTACTGAAGATGAAGAAAGTAACAATGCTACTCAAAAGAGAATTAAGAAGATTTAGAGAAATTTAAATCAAAAGTAGTAATTATTTAGACTATCGTTTTTAGACTAAGTATTTAGACTGCATTATTACAAACTTGTAAACATTTATTTTAGTGACAATTATAAATTATAATTCATATCTCATATATTATCTTGCATTTATATACTTTGAATTAGTAATTTAAATAAACAAATCCAACATTCAATTACCTATGCATGAACACCTCATATATCTTGCATTGATATACTTTAAATCTCCCAAATGCTCTGTCGGGCCGGGGTGTAGGGGGCCCTTAGGGTTGGGATTCAGCCTTTTGGAAGAATTGATATACTTTAAATTACTTATTTAAAAATAATTATTGGGCATTATCCTATTTGCGCAATGGTGGCATGAAAAAACTAGTTACATGTATATGATTGCAGTTCTTGGAAGCCATTAATTAATAGTGGCCTTTTCTTGGTTAATGAGATGAAGCACAAAAGTAGAAGAAAAGGGGGCTGCAATGGGCTATGGATGACAAGAGTGAAAGGTGTTATCCAATTTAGTACCATTTTCTTTGTCTTATTCCTTTTTATAAACTTAGACTTAAAATAGATTTAGACAGATTTAATTCTCAAGTGGATTCTAAAAACATTATGCTGTGAGCACAAGGTGGGCATGATTCTATATTCATAATTTTTATATTGTAGATTCATAATTTCTATACTGTAGATTCATAAAATGTATATTTTAGATTTATAATTTCTAAATCGTAGATTCATAATTTAAATACAGTAGATTCATAATTTCTATATTGTAGATTTATAATATATGTACTGTAAATTCATAATTTATGTACTGTAAATTTATCATTTTTAAACTGTATAGTTATCAAATTATGAACATATAGTTCTCTGATTTGTGAAAACATAGTTCAATAATTGGAATCTAAACTATAAATTTTATGAATTTACAGTATAGAAATTATGAATCTACAGTATAAAAATTATGAATATAGAACCGTACCAACCTTGCAAGGTGGACATGTGCCCACGGATAGTTATGTTGTGCATCTGTATGCACCATGCATGGTGCATACGGATGTAAAAATGACGTCGTTTTATTAAAAACGCGCGTCTCCCCTTTAAAAAAAATTCAGGTTCGATTCCAGCAACAACATTATGTTGTTCATTCATTCTGTAATTTTAGTTCATAGATTATGGAATTTCAGTTCATTGATTCTGAAATTATAGTTCATCGATTCTGGAATTGTAGTTCATCAATTCTGGAATTTTAGTTCATTCATTCTGGAATTTTTAGTTCATAGATTAGATTATGGAATTATAGTTCATCGATTATGGAATTATAGGTCATTGATTATGGAATTATAATTCATATGTTGTTGCTGAAAATCGAACCTGACTTTTTTTTTAAGGGGAGACGCGTGTTTTTAATAAAACGACGTCGTTTTTGCATCCATATGCTGGTGCATACGGATGCGCAACATAATTTGCCAACCTCATTATAATTTTCCGGATTCTAATATCTGGGTCATTAGGCCTTCCAAATAATGGGCCGGGGTATATAACCCAACAAATTCTTGGACCATATTATTATTATTATTATTATTATTATTATTATTATTATTATTATTATTATTATTATTAAAAAATTAAAAATTAAAAATTAAAAAAAAAAAAAAAAAAAAAAAAAAAAAAAAAAAAAACAGTACTCTTTCAGAAGGAGAAGGGAGAATTGTGTGATTAAGTCCTACTAGCGAAGACCGGAAAAGGACAAAGTCCAGCAATTAGTGGCTAGGAGATTATTGAATGAATGTTGATAAAGTGTCCAGCACACTGCTTCTCAAAAATATAGTAGCAGTATATAAGAAAATAAAGTGCTGGGAGGAGAATTGTTGAGCAGAAGCCGATAAATGGCAAGTCTAGCAATTGGTGGTTAGGAGGATTGTTGAGCGGGCCAAGTTCAACACTCTGCCTCTTAAAAATGTAGTAGCTGTATTTAAGGAAATAAAACTACGCAATCACTGTGAGCTATAACTTTTGACGTAATAGTAAGCATTTGATCCTAACAAGTCCTACCCGATTTTTCTTATGGACGCTACAGCAGAGCAACAAAGATAAAGATTGAGAGGCTTGGCATTCCAAGTTTATATAACGTATCCATATCTTCTGTAATTCCCATTTGATGTTTCCTGTCATTTATCATACACTTGAAAGATGAAAATGGGCTGAGTGCCTGAGTTTAATTAACATTTCTTCTTATGCATTACATGAATCCTTCATATCACAGGCCCTTAACCTGTACTTTGTTATTAACTTCATCATCAATCTTTCTTTCGTGTGGGTTGATGGCCATTCCAGCTCTCTAACATTTTAGCCCGCAAAGTCGCGAATTATCTGACCTCCAAACTGCTGCATTTGCTGTTGCTGTTGTTGTTGCTGTTGGGCGCCCTCGATGCTTTGTCTGAGTCCCAGTGTCAATGACACAGCTCCAAGCCCCCCAATTTCGAGGCTGTTTTGCTGGTAAGGCATGAAACCCATCAGCGGTCTGTCCATGGCACCAACGGGAAGCCCACAGTCGATCCTGGACCGCTTGTCCTGGTACGATTTTTCCCTGATGATGGTAGCTGCTGATGATGGGCTGATCCCGGGGGGGCATTCTTCTGCTGCTGCCATGTCTGACATTCCCCTCGCGTTCAACAACTGTCTTTCGTTAAGGAGGCTGAGCCGCCTGTTCAAGTGCTGCTGGCTGGCGCCTTGTGTTCCCAGCTCCCCGTCTGCTTTTCCCACATTTGATCCCTTTTCTACCATTGCTTTGGTCTCGAGCATGTGAATTTCTTCTACCATCGGCTTCCAAACTCTCACTCGAGCATTGATGAACCAGTTTGAAACCTATATATATAGGTATATCAAGTGAATTCACATACATAAGGCTCATCTAACACGATAACTATGTTCGAGTGACCACTATTGCAGACAGGGGGGAGTTCGGATTCTACCTGGTTCCTAGTCAAGCCAGTTTGGGAGGCCAACATATGCTTGTCTGTGTCTGTTGGATACCTGCAACGACGCAAGCAAAGATCTTATAGGAACAGAATATAGACACGAGTTACTGACGCATTACAGAGGACTCACGGGTGCAGGAAATGGTCGAAAAGCCAAGCTCTAAGAATAGCCACAGCCCGCTCAGGCAGGCCTCGTTGTGGCCTCCAAACGTGCGTTTGAGGCTCCAAATAGTGCAGCCTTTCCCCGCTGCCATTCTGGTTTTGCAAGGTCTGGTCGATGAAGTTCAAGCCCGAGGGGGTTCCAGCTGCATCCCTCTTGCTGCTGCTCGCCCCCGCGGTGGGAGACAGCACGTCTTCTCCCAACGCCTTCCTTATGCTCCTGAGCTGGTTTGATATCGTGCTCTTGAAACAACGAAACTGGCGCGAGACTGCCTTCAACGCCACCGAGATGTAAGGGGTGGCTGCGCTAAGACCAGCCACTGACTCGAAGGAAGATACCACCATCTGCATCTGCTGATGGTACTGCCTGTACCTTCTGCAAACCTTCTCCACAAAATTCCAAAACAAATTTTCAGAATCTGGTCTTTCAATACACTTAACTACTAGCCATATACCCAAATTGTTAACATTACTTCACAAACATTCTTTTACTAAAAACACATCACTACTGTCCAAGAAAAAAGCTACTTTTTCTTGATACCTTTCAGGAAAGCAAATATCAAAAGGAAAAGCATTTCCAATTCTCTTACTTTACGAGTTTAGGTATTCTGTCAACATCGAGACGTGATTCATTCCACCAAATTGGCATCAAACTCCCCTTTAATAAAGACTAAAACACGGTGCCAGGCAATTTCATTTCAGATTAGCAACAAGAACTATATTAGTGTTAACACTGATAAGATGTGTCCAAATAAGATTGGCAATATAACTATATTAAGAAAGGAAACGATCCTACCTCGTCCTGCATGTATAACAGCTTGACTTTGTTTTGCAGATATTCAGGCCGATGGTAGGATTCATTCGAGCTGCTCACTATGCCTCTAAACTCGTGGCTGCTCTTCTCGTTTGAGCTATAAAACGTTGAAGATGAGGCACCGGAATCAACAGCCAGAGATCCACCGCCACTGCGTGGAGTTGCATTGACACCCTCACTACAAATCCCAACTTCATGATCCATAACATTATTCCCAGAGACCTCCGACAAGTTAAGGGCTTTGTCACCAGTAGTTAAGTTGCAGAATTCATAGAGCAGCTGTTGTGCTGGCCTTAGAAATCTCGAACTTTTAAGAATGGTTGCATAGCCCGTGAAAGGACCAAGAGGCACCAAATCTCGATGAGTAAAAGTTAAATTCCCAATCATGTCTTGACGAGCAGCGTTCCCCAACGCTTTACTGCCTTGTTTCGGGTATGAACACAAGTGGTCAGATTTCAAGGGCTTCAAATCAGGCATGCTACTACCGATCCTCTCCCCAACTGAGGAAAGGGACAAAGACAAGGCCTGTGTATTCGAAGCCTCGTTTTCAATCGCTCTATTATCTCTCTCGAGTTCCCCATTCCACTGAACTGCACTATTTACCAAGCTAGCAGCATTAGTATTGACAAACAACTGGCTAGACTGATCCACATAAGTGGGGAGAAGACGGGTTTCGTCTTCTTCACCGGGCAACAACCACGAGCTTCGTTCTGTTCCCCTCGCGTTCTGCAGCATCTCGAGCTCTCGGGTTCCAACAGCAGCAGAAGCAACAACTTCTTGAAGAGTCTGCAGATCCTTAAACTGACCACAAGTGTCACTAGATGGATTGGTCAATTCTTGATATCCAAAGTAACTACTCTTCACATCAATTCCAGAAACAGGAACATCATTGTTTAGCCTCAAACAACCAGACAAGTTTTCCCCGACAAACATCGGACTAAGGTTGCCAGCAATGCCAGCTGATCCACTTGAATAATTAGCAACACCACTCCAAACAGAGCCAATTTTCTGGGAATGATCAACATTACAGCTTTTCCAAGTGCCACAGTTTTGTGGGTCACCACTGCCTTTAACTGCCTCTCCCAAACTGGGAAACGAAGCATTATTATTATTATCTTTGTTCAACACTACAGAATGTGGGTTTGAGCCAAAATTAAGCATGTCTGATGACGAAGAATTATCGCAAGAAATGTGGTTTCCATATCGCCAGCCAGGAAGATGAACAAGATCCACGTTGTGCAAAGACAGCTGCTCTAAATTGGCACGATAATCGCCCATGTGCTGTGATGGTGTTGATGAGGTGTTTTGGTTTCTCAGCTTATCACGCCTGCTTTGCTGCACCACATGAAATTCAGACCCATGGTTTCTCATCTCCATGCCACCACAAGATTTTACAACGTTTATCCTGAAATTCCCATTAAATAGGACATTCAACTCCAAACTTTGAAAATATAAGGAAAATTAAAAAACCCAGTAGTTCAGTACTGTTGAGAAAGAAGTACATAGAACACACAGCCACCCATGTATAACCCGCATGACAACTTAGTTGGTTACTAGGTGCGTGCTAGACTAGGCAAAACATAAGATCCGACATTCGAGTGTTGGAGTTACCCCATCCTTGTTGACATCATCGAGCACGGGTCCTCTCACCTAACTCACACAGGATTAGCCCGCACGGCAGCTCACTTGATTTCTAGGTTGTAGAAAAGACCGGTTCATTCTTATGTGCTAGATTGTGGACAAGACACCGGATAAAACTCCTACACCCAGTGGGCTCTTTGTGAGAGCCAAGCACGGGTATTTCTACCTATTGAAAAGTTGAGCAACCGTAATTTACCCTTCCATGTCTTGTCTATGAAGAAGGTTATAGGGCTAGAGAATTTTGCCTTTTGTTGGAGTAGCAGAAAGGAGATGCAACAAATGAAGTCCATGGGAGTGGATAAATGCAAGAAAAGAAACCAAGCTAGAAGCATCATGGAAAACAAAAACTTGGGTTCTGAGAAACAAAGAAAAAGAGAAAGAAACACAAATCCAAAATTACAATGTTGAGCTAGCTTTCTCTTCCTCCCATGGCTCCCTCAAACTTACCCTTCTAAACCAAGCAACACTGCACAGCGTAGAATTTTCCCAAGATTTTGCACCAAAATGAAGCAATCACTCCTTGTCAGCTTCAAGCTACAAACTTTATTTACCCAAGAAACTCAACAACAAATCCCAAAAACGTAAGGGAAGAAAACCAAGGGAGCAAAGAAGAACCGCGAGAATGGCACATTAAAAAATAAAATAAAGTAAAACAAAAGAAAAGAAAACCCTAATTTTGGACCAACCAACTTTAGCTTCTGTCATTTTCAGCAGCCAAAAGGATCTAAAAGAAGGCAGCAAAATAGGTAGATCTAAACCTTGAAGCCTGAAACTTCTTTTTCTTGGCATGAAAGCCAAGAAAACAACAAAGATTGAATTTTTCAAACCCCCCGAAGAAAAATGGACAAAACCCACCAAGACAAAACAAGTGAAAGATGAGAAGGAAGAAGAAAAGACGACGACGATAAAAAATTACCTGAAGTTAGCTAGATAGCTAGCTTGGTGGGGATGCTCCAAAGACGAAGAGCTAATGAAAAGCACTACGTCCGGCGAGTTTCCGATGGATTTGACGGCGGGGAGAAGGAAAAGGTGGGCATGATGAGAGCAAAGGATGATAGTAGAGGTTAAAAGAAGGACAATGATTGCAAAAGAGGTGATGAGCAAGAAGCAGTAGTAGTAGTAATTGATAATTGGCCTCTCCTCCGCTTCAGCTTTAACGTGTAGTAAACCCGCGCGGGAATGTGCACAGCACACCTACCTGCGCGACGTTGATTTTCATTGCTCCGTACATCGCCATAAAATTAATATTCTATTCATGTCTCCAAAGGACAAAAGCTCCTTTGAATTGGATGAAATTCTTCATCGTATGATAATTCTAGTTAACAAAAATCATTATTAGATTAATGCTCCCTTGATAAAAGTTTTTTTTTTTTTTATTTTATGTGCAGTGTTCTTTACAAGGTAGTATTTATTCTATATTTTTTTAAATATTTTCAGTTTAAAAAAATTAAGTCTCCACCGGGGTTAATTAAGCTTATAACCATACATTTGGAATGGTAACAGGATGTCATTACACTACATAGTAATTGGCCTAATTATCCCATTTTAATTTCATGTGCTCCATTTATTTATTTAAGAGTTAATTTCATTTTTTGTCCTAAATTTATAGGTGACAGTCAGGGGTCGTTTGGTTCACGGAATGTCAGATTACCTTAGGGAATGTTAAATTGTTGGGAATGTTAGATTACTAGAAATGTTAGATTCATGTGTTTGATTAAAATTAGGATATGTAATATAATCATGTTTGGTTTAGGGTTATCTTTTATACACACTATAATATTCTTAACATATTTTCATATATTTTAATAAATTTAAAAATTAAAATAAATAAATAACATAACGGTATGATATATAATTACATGATTTTAAAATATTAACTAAAATCTTGAACTTGAGAAACAAAATTATTTTATATGCTAACATAACATAATAAAAATAAAAAATATATATAATTACAAAAATAATTTTATATATATATATATATATATATATATATATATATATATATATATATAAACTAACATAACCTAGGTTATCTTACATTACCTAAGATTTTGAAGGGAATCACATTCCCTTCAAAATTCTATGTCGAGGGAATTTGACATTCCCTGGGAATGTTAGATTCTCTAAGATAATATGAACCAAACACCGGAATGTGAGCTTTGGAATGTCACATTCCCTTGGTTATGTTATATAACCTGAACCAAACGCCCCCTTAGTCCTTTTTTATTAGAATACTCACATTTGGTCCTAGTATTATTGTAGCATTACCATTTTTTATCATTTATCAATAAAATAGTTCTAATGCCGTTAAATACAAAGCTATTTCGGTCTTCAATTACGGATTTTTTCAAAAAAATAAACATAAAAATATAACGGGGTCAACTCACTTTGTATAAAAATGATCGAAATGCCTTTGGATTTAACGACATTTCAATAATTTTGTTGACATTGGACAAAAAATGGTCATGCCACAATAATACTAGAACCAAATATGAATATTTTGATAAAAAAAGATTAAAAATGGACTGCCACATATAAATCTAAGATAAAAAATAAATTAAATTATGATAAGTTATTTTATTTAATTTATATATTGCTAGCTACTTACATACACCAAAATTATATTTACCATGTAACATGACAATAATTTTTTTTTTTTTAATTCTAATAGAGATATACTTTACTAGTATAATTATACACATGCTCGATATTGGGACCGGAATGTTCATTTCCCGAGCATATCTGACCACCTTGTGTTTTGCACAATTTGCGCCTAGTAAAAAGATAGTCCATTTAGGATTAGTAGTAGTTGCGCTTTGCACCCGTGATAGGATTCCCGATTACATCTGATCGGGAAGGCTATCCTAAGCACGGGAACTTCATTATTAAAAGACAAATATAATCTGCTCGCATTGCCCGATTTTATCATAATAATGCAAATGTCAGGAATCTTGTAGCACGTGGAATTATTAGGACCACCCAATCGCAACCGATGCATGGAAGACACGTGGTTAACATGCCTGACGGTAGGCATGGGTCCCCTCCAGAGTTCTATATAAAGCACATTAAATGTCTCGAGAAAGTACTTTTGGATTTTGGAAGATACTATACCTAAGCTCGATCAAGAACGTCTATTCTTATATCAAATTACCTGAGTTCATACATTGTGACCGAATATAACATACTTGCGTATTTGTCACATCAGATTCATTGGCTACCATGAAATGATTTACCTAATCTCGCACTTGAAAAAATCACTGTGAATGAAAAATAACTGTGAAAATTTGTTGCGAAGTATGATTCAATAATTCAATAACAAATGAACAATGTGTCCCCTCCCTACCAAACTTGCGTCCATCAGTTCATATCAAATAAAAGCTTATATATAATAACTTAAATTAAAAGGTTCATCATTATTCCAAATGATTGAAGGTTATATGTTTATTTGAATAAGATTATTATTCACACGTGATTAACTTATTACTGGCGTGCTGACCTTTTACTCTTTTATATGAGTTTGACTATAATCAGTTATGTATAGATTCTTTTATACTTTAATGTGGGCTCCGGGTAAAAGTAAAGCGGCGAATTATATGATTATTAAGTATGATTTACCTTGCATTATATGAATTATAAATTTATAATAATATTGTAAATTCATTATAAATTAAAAGAAAAAATGTCGAATAGCCCCGCGAACTTTATTCAAAAAAAAAAAAAAAGTAATAAGACCTTTAAATTTTCAAAGATTGTAATTATACCTATAAACATGTAATTTTAGAACATTGAAATCCAAAAATTGGTTAGTGACTAGTAATTACAGGCCACTAGGTTTTAGAGAGCCTCCAATAATATTTCAAACGATAAACATCAGCAAAACAGCCGTCGGTGGGTCGCCTTCTCCGGCGAAGGAAAAGGCAGACCAATTTAGTCACCGTCTCCGACGAAGGAGAAAGAGAAGGCAGACCAACTAGTCACCTTCTCCAGCGAAGGAAAAGGCGACCCACCGGCTACCGTTGCGTTGATGTTTGCTGTTGAAAATATTGTCGGAGGCTCGTTGGAACCCAAGTGACCTGCAATTACCGGTTATCAATCGATTTTTGGGCTTCAATGCTCTAAAATTACATGTTTATGGGTTTCGTGGCAACTTTTGAAAATTTTGAGGGCCTAATTGACTTTTTGAGTAAAGTTTAGGAGCCTATTTAATCATTTTCCCTAAATTATATACAAATGATAGTTTAAATTTTGTTATAACAATATTTTAAGTCCATTTAAATTATATTAATTCAATAATACTCACTTAAACATATTTTTTTATATAATGTATAAATAAAATGAATTTTACAAAACATATTATTAAAATCTTTTAATGACACTCATATTCATATATTTTTTCAATATATCATTTCAATAATTGTATGATGAAGATATAATAGTGACTTCCTTAATATATATATATATATATATATATATATATATATATATATATATATATATATATATATATATATATATATATATATATATATATATACTAGCATTTTGTACGCGCGATGTGCGAAAACCTATGCCCAATATTAAAATATTGTTAAGTAACAAAATTTAAAAAATTAGTTAAAATTATGTTTCGCAATTCTTTAAAGTGATGATACTTTTGAATTATCATATATTTGAATAATACAGTGATCAAAACAAACAAAAAACAAAAAACAAAAGAGAAATTATATTTTTATATAATAATAATTTACCAATAATACTAAGCTAACACCCACATATATGATATATTGATATGTATACACAAATAATATACATACATATTTTATATATATATATATATATATATATATATATATATATATATATATATATATATATATATATATATATATATAAACATAATAAGTGTGAATGAAAGTTATACCCCTAATTTATGTTTGTTTTTTCTGTTAATTTTTTTTTTTTTTTTACATTACGCTGTAAAGGTTGTACATTAAAATATTTTGGACAAACATACCCCTACTGTTATAACTTCCGTTATCTTTTCCACTATTGTTACCATGCACATGCATCCACCATATATTTTCTTATCTTCTTCATTAATAATAATATATACACATTAAATATTTGAGTTATATGTTAATTATTACATAAATATAAAAATCAACTTTATAAAAATGATTTATATTATTATTATTATTTAGAATAATTTAAATATCTAAAATCGAAATAAATTTAAAACTTTAATATAATGTATTAATATTGGGCACCTATTTTTTGCGCATCGCGCATAAAAAATACTAGTATATATATATATATATATATATATATATATATATTGATACTGCTAATTATACGTAAGCAATATAAAGTAACCCGAGACCAATCAAAGCAAGTAAATGTCTTTATTGATCACGGTAGAGGCCCTAAGTACAATCTACTTGGTTGCTCTGAGTACCGACTGACTGCGGTCGGGATTCTCTAACAACAACCTATCGATCGTCCAAAAGTCCCCTACACTGTAGCTACTGTGGGTATTTATAGCCGCTATACCGGGGACAGGATTCCAGCCGTTCGGCATGTCCTCCACGTAGCCACCACGTGTCATCCTCCCGGGTGCCCTGTCTGTCGTCGTAGAGAGTCGCCACGTGTCTTTCGTCAGCTCTCTCGTCAAAGGGCTACCGCTCGGCGGTCGACACCGTCGCTCGGGCAACTCCCGGTCGGCCCCCGACCGGGTTCTTCACAAGGAGCCCGACCTGTTACCTGCAAAGACAAAGAGAAAAGGACAAAGGCTTCTCGGTCGTGGTGAAGCTATGTCGGTCGGGATATTCCCTACCAAGAGCCCCCCAGCCCGGGCCTTTTTGATCGTCTGGGAAAAAATGGGCCGGGATGAAGAAGCCCAACCGTCGGCCGCTAAACCGACCGGCCAGCTGTCATTCCCTTCTTCGCCACATGTCAGCCACTGCCGGCCTCTGCGACTGCAACCGTCGCCTCGGAATCAGCGCTGGTCGTGTCACGCAAGTGGATGATTTTCCCGCCCAAACGCCCTCCTATAAATAGGCCCTTGAGGCCTCCATTTGGACTTTCCTCAATCCACTGAAGCAGTCGATACCCTCAGAGAGTCCCGAGCAGAGCACCTTAACAAGGCAGTCGAGCAAGGAAACCTTCAAGCTTTCAACCGCAAAGTTCCTCCATTCGGTAAATTCTCAACTCATCCCTTTACTTTGCGCTTTCATTTATAAG